CAGAAAGTCAGCAAGTGTATATTATAGAAAATGGAACTAAATGATAAACAATTGTTTCTAATTGACATTTATAGAATACTCCACTCAATAACAGCAGAATACACATTTTTCTCAATTTCACATGGAACGTTCACCAAGGTAAACCATATCTGGGGCCATAAAACAAATTTGTCACACATGTAAAGAATTTAAATCATATAAAGTATAAAAAACAGAATGATAAGAAAATGTACGAACCCTTAGAATTTAAACAACACACTTGTACATAATCTACAGGTCAAAGAGGAAGTCTCAGGGAAGTTAGAAAATATTTTGAACTAAATGAATATAAAAATATATCAAAATTTGTGGGATGCAGTTAAAGCAGTGGTTAGATGGAAATTTCATCATTACAATGCATTTGTATTAGAAAAGAGAAAGGTATCAAACCAATAATCTAAGTTGCTTCCACAAGAAATTAGAGAAAGAAGAGCAAAATAAACTCAAAATAAGCAAAAGAAAGGAAGTAATAAAACTAAGTATATAAATTTAAAAAATGAAAACAATTTCAAAAACAATGGAGAAAAATAATGAGGAGTTCAATAAACCTCTGGTGAGACTGACAGAAGGAAAGATAGAACACAACTTACTGATATCAGGAATGAAAAAAAGGGTTATCACTACACACCCTACTCATAAATTTGACCATTTAGATAAAATGGATGAATTCTGCAAAAGACACAAATTACCAAAATTCACTCAAGATGACATGTAGATAACTTAAATAGCACTATTAGTATTTAAAAAATTGAGCTTGTATTTTAAAACCTTCTATAAAAGGATTCTTCAGGCCAAGATTCTAGCACACACCATATAGCATATGCTACCAAATATTTAAAAAAGAAATATGATAAGTTCTACCAAATATTTTCTAAAAATAAAATGAATTGTACATAATCTCTTCCAGAAAATAGAAGAGGAGGGAACACTTTTTAACTCATTTTATAAGGCCAACATTACCCTGGTACTGGAACCAGACAGATGGTACAAAAAGTACAAAACAATATCCCTCATGAACATATATGCAACAATTCTCAACAAAATATTAGCAAATATCCGTTAATACATAAGTATACAAAGAGATAGTCAATAATATTGACTTTTAGGGAAATGCCAACTAAAACCCTGATGAGATATAACCTATGGAATGAGACACACCTATTGAATGGCAAAAGTAAAAAATATTGACAATACTAAGTGCTCACAATAATGCAAAGCAATTGGATTTCTCATACACTGCCAGTGGGAATGCAAGATTGTACAGCCACTCTAGGATCGTCCCGCTTCAGCCTTCTGAGTAGCTAGGACTACAGGTGGGCACCACCACGCTTGGCTAATTTTTAGTATTTTTTGGAGAGACAGGATCCAGGTTGCCTGGGCTGGTCTTGAACTCCTGGCCTCAAGCTGTCCTCCTGCCTCAGTCTTCCAAAGTGCTGGGATTACAGGTGCGAGCTATTGTGGCTGGCCCTACTTTGCAGTTTCTTATAAAGCTACACACAATTAACATATGACCCAGAAATCCCAAGTGAACTGAAAACTTGTATTCAAACAAATCCTATGCATGAATGTCTATAGCAGCTGTATTCATTATCACTAATAACAGAAAACAACCCAATGTCTTTCAGTGGGTCGATGGGTAAGTAACCTGTGGTACGTTTCTACAATGGAATACTACTCAATTTAGCAATAAAAAGGGATGAACTATTGACACACCCAACAACTTGGATGAATCTCAAAGGTATCGTGCTGAGTAAAAGGAGCCAATCTCAAACGTTGTACATACTGAATGATACACTTTATATAAAATTCTCAAAAAGGTGAAACAAGTGACAGAGAAGAAATCAATGATTTCTAGCAGTGAGAGGTTAGTGAAGACAATGTTGTAATTTCTTCCCATCTAAATTCCTTAGACCTCTGCGTTCTAATTATGAACCACTGGGAGGGAGGGTCTATGTGCCCCAAGTAAAAAGCCTGCTGTATGCTATATGCTGTGTAGGAATTGTATCTTTTTGTTCATTCTTCTATGCCTCATGCCTAGCAGAGTAAATTGGCATAGTGTGGGCACTCAGTTATCTGGCAAACAAAAAAATAAATGAATGAACAAACTATGAAATGATTTCAACATCCAAAAATGCATTGAGAGGCTCTAAAACTTTAAGAAAAATGGGCACATTTTGTTTAACCCAACACGTGATCACTGTTGATAACTGTGGGCTGCACTCTCTCTAATGACTCTCCTAACTGTATGCTTCTGTTTGGGTTACTGACCAGGTTTTGTCTTGTGTGGTTCTACCTGCACCATTTCTGAGCATTTCTCCTGCTTCTGTCTTGTTGAAGCAACACAATTAGATATACAAATCCCTTCTCCAGAATTATGCAGCTACTGTCATCAAAGATGGTAGATAACTGCCAATGATGTACACATTGGAATTAGTGTTTGAGATTTATCATACACTAACATATGAGAGGACTTGGTGGGCAGTGCTGAGATAATAATGAGGCCTTGCAAATGGCCATCATTCAGCATTGCAGGGAGTCAGGCAGGACTAGGCTAGCTCAACAGAGTACTTGACATGAGGGGGCAACATGAGAAATGTATGGGGACTCGAAAATTATAGTTGCTATTAGAGCCAGAGGCCCTTTGTCTCATTCCTCACCAGGAGTAGGGGCCCATAGAGAACTCAGTCACCAGAAGGTTCTGGGAAAGTTGTAGAGACCGATTAAGTTGCTACACTACTGACCCTGCCATGTGCCAGCAATCTCCTTGATGGTCTCTGGGCAGTCTGTTTCATAGACCTGAATAAAAGATTGGGAAAGCCTACAGTATCCTATTTCATCAAGTCCAGTCTACAATGCCTTGATGGTAAGACCAGCCATTATTTTATATGCCAATAGGAGAGGAAAAACACTGCCAACACACTGTGACAGATGCCTTTAATGACAGTCCTGAATGACATATGAATCAATGACATCAGATTCCTTTTAAATTAATCTTCATCTCTTCTAGAGATTTGGCAATGAAACAAATAACTCGGCAATAGAAAGTAACACAGCGTGTCCAACTGGTGGGTATCTTCCTTTGCGAGGTTTCTGGTGCCGTTGGTTGTTTCTTTGCAAGAAAATATGGACTCATGATCATTCCTTCTGTGATAAATGTTGTTCACTAATACCACCTTTGCATCCTACTGCTTGGTTTCTGTACCTTTCTGACTACAAAATAGTTTGTTATTTCAGTGCTGAATCATAGTGAAATTTCTTTGGGGAGATTCCTACACAGCAGTTAAACTCTGAGGTTAAACTAACAAATGCACAGATCTCAATCAAAGTGGTGACAATGTGAACAGCTACAGCTGGGTGGATGCACATGGCCGATGGCTTTTGAAAGATGCTACTGATTAAGATGCATCTGGATCTCAGCGATGTTAGCCTGTGAAAAACTGTGCCTCTTAAAATCCATAGAATACAGTAATTCTGTCCAATTCAGTAATTTGGTAGGGAGAGTTCTGCACTTATGACATGTTTTTTGGACATCCTTTGTTTGCTGAGGAATGTTCTAGGGCTTCAGTGGGAAACAGGCTGACTCCCCTGCCCACATGGAGCTCACACTGAGTAAGGAGAACAGACAATAAAGGAATAAACAGGACAATGTTCATGTTATTTTAAGTGCAAGGAAGGAAATAAACAGGAGGCTGAGATGGAGCCTCACAGTGGGGCGGGTACAGGATGTACATGAGCATTTGTGATGAGCCTTCTGATTTCCAACTAAGTCAACACTTGGATTTTTGTCTCTAAGAGTCACTGGCAGCCTGTAGGGTGATCATGTGTCCCTAGGTTTGCCTGAGACTGAGGGATTTCATGGGATATGAGCCTTGAAGTCCTATAATGGGCAGACGCCAGCATACTAGTACAGTTCATCCCCCTATGGGGATTCTAACTCAAGTTTCCTTGTAGTTTAATATTTTTATTACTATTTCCATGTCTAATGAAGTCTAATACTTAACCATCCACTGTGGCTTTTATTTTCTTTCGCTCTCATCTCTCTTATTTTCATAAAAAGAGATTAATTCACTAGTACAACTAAAGTCTTATAATTCTTAAATGCAGTTACTCAACACCACCAGTTAAACACCTACTTGAAGTCCTTCAGGGGCCTCAATTGATAGGTCAGGGTAGCTATCAGGGGTAAGAAGTGTCCATCGACAGCTAGAAAATCAGGTAGTGGCACAACAAGCGTCCACCAAAGGTTCCAGCTGGGAGAAGGTGGGTGTTTACTAAGCAGGGATGAGGGCAGGGCGAGCTGCTTTGTTTTTCTAATTTTATTTTATTTTGGATGAACAATTCCAACCAAAGGCTTTGAAGAAGAGCAATTTTCTTTGCCTTTGAAATGAGTTAAAGGCAAAAACAACTCCATCCTTTCATGTTAGGAATCATTTTGGTAAAATAGCACGGCTTTCTGTTTTAACTAAATGACAAGCTGAACTCTGGATTGCAAATGCTTTCATGGCTATTAGAAGTCTAGTGTGTTTGTTTTTTCTCTTTAAAACAATGAAATGCAAATTCTTGGCTTTCTCTTCAAGCAAGGAGCGGTGAGGGGAAGCCACTCTGAGGCTGGATGCAGATGTGTCGTTGTCACTGACACTACAATACTTCTTAGTTTTTGCAAAGTCCCAGTGAACTTCATGTTTGTTCCCTGCCTTTTTAGTCTCAAGGTTGATGTATAACGACTCCTGTGCCTAACGTAATATTCCAAAACTACTATGTCCTTTCCATTCTTTCCCCCTGACCCCGTTGTGTTTCATTTTCTTTTTCTTTTTTAAAAATTTAATTTAACTGAATTTTAAGTTCAGGGATACATGTACAGGGCGTGCAGATTCGTTACATAGGTAAACATGTGCCATGGTGGTTTGTTGCATGTATCAACCCATCACCTAAGTATTAAGCCCCACATGCCTTAGCTATTTATCCTAATGCTCTCCCTCCCCCAACCCTGCTGTGTTTCATTTTCCTCTCATATCTCATGACCACATAATTCCTTCTTCAATGACAAATTGTATTGAATGCAGTGGCCAGTCTTACAAGTGCTGTAATCTGAATGAAAAAATGAAGCTTTCCACTTGATCACTCTGGTATATTATTATTTTTAAAAAGATGGAAGTTGTCATATGACAATGGAGGCATTAATTCTCTAACCTATTCAAAAACTGTAGCTCATATTTGCCAAGAAAACAGAATGCGAAGCCATGTTTGTGCTTGAGGCAGGAGGAAGCAGAAGGAGGCCAAAAAGTCGCCTTAATGTTAAGCAAAACTTTGAATCAGCATTTAAATTAGATATGCTTTAACGGCTGATGTTATTTGAAAGCTGAATAGCCAATGTCAAAAATAGATTTTCCTTTCTTTCCAAAGTGCATATGGGGTCCAGGAAGGGGCTAAAATAACCACATGCCTTTCTTGGACTCCTGACTCTCACCCCCCAAAGGGTTTTCTTGTGTAGGAACCAACAATTCCTTGGATGGAAACACTGGATAGGCTAGTCATTATTTTGAGATTGAAGGGACTGCAGATTCTTGGCAGACCTCTGTTGTTTTTCTAGAGTTGTAGGCAAGTAGTTGGACAAAAAGCAAGAAGCTGATCCATGTTGCTGGCTTTGGATTCTTTGTGAACAAATGAGACAAGGTGAGTAGCTGCCCTGCTCAGCTCCCTCTTCGTTTCGGTGTGGGGGGAGGTGGGGGAAAGGTTCTGATGACTGCAATCCTGGTGTCAGATCTTGGTCTGTTGGAAAACAACGGGCTCGCCGGCCCCTGCAGGAAGACCTAGGCAATGTCTGCATGCTGCCAGTGCAGCCCATGGAGGGGTTAGAAATAGTAGGATTGCTTGTAGAGAGAGAACAATCACTCAATTGTCAGATTTTTTTTCACTTTTCATCCACACGCTGGGTGGCTTTGTAGCACAGTCGGAGATACTGTGTTGAGGAGCCTCTGCTCATGGCAATGTTTCCTCTGTTCACTTTCTGCTGCTTGTGCATTGGAAAATTCCATCATTTAACACTGGGATTATATGTCACCGTTGCTGAAATCATAGACAGAGTCCACTTAATTTGCTACGAGCATGAGAAATAGCCAGAGAATGGGTGAAGCATAGCATTCCCCTGTATAAAGAGAGGATTGAATAAGGTCAGTGAACCAAAGAGACGGCAGGTCACAAACCCTCAGAGGGTCATGAAAATCTTCCCGGGTTTCCTGTCTTTAGGAGCAAAACGGATGCCTGATTAAATTTTTTTAAAAAAGTATTGAAGATTAGCCATGATAGTTGTTTGAGCTGGGTGAGATATTTGAGGGCTCATTATACTAGTTTCTGTACTTTTGCACATTTTTGAAAATTTCAAATGATAAAACATTTTTTACGAAATATTTAAATACCTCCCTGCTTCGTGTCAGAATTCCAGAGCCCCTGAGTTCGTCCCATGCACGCATGCGCGGCAGTAGGGGCTGCTCAACTGAGCATGCTCGTGATTTGGCCTCAGTCAATTTCACCGTGTGCTGAGCCCCTAAAGATGCTAACTCTTGTGCGGTTTCAAATGGTCTTTATTCTTAGCCATATGTTCTTTGGCCCATATCCTGAATGGTTCATTTGTTAAAGTCTAGAAGCATTAGCAACACAGATGTTGAAATTCATGTTAATAATTCAGTAAATTGCCTCATCATAATCTTCACTTTATCTGAAGATGTCCTTTGTCTCGTCAAAGTCTGCCCCTGGACCTCAGAAACCCAGTGTTACAGAAAAAAAAAAAAAAGACAGGGACTGTTATGTCTAATTTTGGTTTTAATTTATAGAGAACAAATGGTTGTAAAGAAGTGATTACAAATAGCAGCTAGCTGATATTTTAAGCACAAAATATAAGAATTTCAGACATGAGGTCATGAAAGCAATTTTTGATGCCTCAATTCCTGGTTAATTTCAATTTTTATTTTAATCTGAGCACCCAACATCTGACACAAAATAACTTTTATTGACGTCCTCCTTGTGTCTGGTGGCCCAGAAATGGTTATCTTAAAATGTATTGTGTAGTCACTGTTTCCTGGACCTTGTGGACACAGAAATGGTAGAAGGTTCTAGAAATGAGGCATGTAGGCACATTGTAAGATTTATGGGTTTTAGCCACTCACTCTTGAAACTTGATGTTAATCTCCACATTTGATTAAAAGTTTAAATATATTGATTAAAGATTATAGCTAACATGAAATTTATGTTGATGAAATAGAAAATATTTTGACTATCATTTTCTGCTTTTGCATACACACTATACTGGACATCTGCTATGTGTATCTCTCACCTTCTGACCCATCTTCCACACCAGCCATTGCTGGGGCAGCCAGCTTAAAATAGGTATAACTAGAAGGTGCCTTGTTTCAGCCGCACTGTGTGTCTCTCTTTCTGCCCTGGGCCTCTCTGATACAGTATCCTGGTATTGAGGCTTGTGCAACCTGGAAGTATAAGGGAGTCAACACTCTATGAGGAAACTCTTGGCCAAAAGGGGATGGGAGTCTATAAATTCGTGCTCCCTTTTTTCTTCCCCTAGGCTGCAAATTCAGAGGATCCTCCCAGAAGATGAGATGGATCAGGTCACCACATTCTTTCCCTTCTTCCCTGCTTCACACCCTCAGGCCCCGACTCCTGTCTGCTGAGATCACTCTCCAAACCAATCTTCCTTTACAAAGCCCTTGTTGCAGGCTGTGCCTTCTGAGGGGAACCCAGGCCAAGACACTAAAACGATACACCAACGTGAAGACACGAACACAAACTGCTAAGGGATTAGTTGGATTGCATATCTCTGTGAATGGGACTCAAGAGAAGTTTGGGAAATGCTGGACCAGGTGACCCTTGCAATCATGGTGCACAGAATTAAAACCGTCAAGGTCCCCCATCCATCTCTGAAATGGATGAGAATCTGAGTCTTCCACGAAGAACAGTGGGAGAAGATGCCCAAGCCTTATTAAACTCATGGAATGTCTTTGGGTATGTGTGACATCAACAAGAAGCAGCAAAGAAAACAAAATATTTTCACAAACATTCAGAAATCACCAAATCTTGTGAGTTGTCTGTACCATTTGTAGGTTTAATGATAAAATGGCACATGATGTTGACCTATTCCAAGGCAATTGTTGATCTCAGCTAGGGTGTAATCTCTGCCTACAGATTAAGGCAGAGGAGACCAACGAGGGCTGTTTACTCTGTCATGATCCGTCCCAGGGGAGGGTGGGTTTTGGACCAGCTAGGTTATGGGGGTGGCTGCTGAGGATTCTGAACATCTAGTTACCTCCCTGTACCTCTATCCCATATACCCTAGGCCTGGTTCTTCCCTGGATTGGGCCATCTTTTTCTGAAGGCAAATTTTCCACTAGGAGGAAGGTTAGAAATGCCAGTTCTTGGGTTGCACCCCAGATCTTTGGCAATCTGTTGTGACAGATCTTCCAGGCGACTCTGATGCTGGCTGAAGTTTGGGAACCATTGCCCTTGGCAATGTTCCTGCTCATCCTGGCTTGCAGGCTTTGGAGGCCTTCACTGTTGATTGATTTACACTCCTGTCCACAGAATGGGCTCAGGAAACAAAAGATTACTTAATTAGCTGGGAGGTGAGAAAAAAGGGGCTGGAACTGTGTAGGCAGCCACACAACTTACAAATAGATTATGTTCTGGACTTTGGAAGTCAGCTGTTTGGAATAGAAGCTGTTTTCCTAGGAATGGTAGATAGCTTTTTATGCCAGCACATAAAGGCATATTTAATTCCGAACTTGGCTGAAATACTGCTGTGTCACAATGAAAATGAGCAGATCCCATTGCTCCTGGAGTATTAGTACCTAATCAAAGCAGAACAGAACAATAAGTGAAACACGGAGATGGTGTTTTATGTATGCTGATATTGCTGGTCAAAGGAAAAGGTTGATTTGGAGATGGATTAAGAGATAAATTGGGATAGGTCAAGATTCATAAGGTGTTTCTGGCTTTTCTCTAGAATATGATGATACTCATTCATTTAGGCAGACTTTCCTTAACTGTGGTTCTGAACTGTTACCTTTCTTTTTTCTGAAGGCAAATTTGCCACTAGGAGGGAGGTAAAGAATTCTGAGACCAATTGGCAAGGGTTGAAAAGGAGAACAGAAAGAGTAATGGAATTAGAGAGAATGAAGGTGTATTTATTAATTAATATGAGCATCAATGGAGACAAAAGTAACATGAGTTGTGAGCAATGAGAGGTGGATGGGCATAGGCCAAGGTTAGGATTCTCCTCTACTTGGCAAGACAGGAAAGAAAGCAGACCTATGGGGAGCACATGGGCTGGGAGCTGCTGTTCTGGAAACCTTCCCTCCCACTGTATTTGCCTGCCCTTGTACGCAGTTCCATTTCATGTCACCCGACTCCTTTCCTCTCCCTGGTTACTGATAGGGCACAAGAAGATAAGCTGAGCTGGACCAACTCCCTTTTTCTTCCTAGAGATTTGAACTGAGAAATAACCAGATACATTTCAGTCCGCGATGGGAGGAGGTTTGCAGCTGGCCGTGAGCGCTTCCCACGTTCACAAATCATGCACTTCTAGTTAGCTTTCTTGTGATGGCGAAAATACTTTCTTTTGGGTTTCATGATGCATTTATTAACCATTCTATTTTTGTATCATACAAACGATCAGAGCTGACAGTTGAATGGCTGGGTTTGGAGAAGTGTGGTAGCCCTAATGGAATTAATTAATTGAATAATATTGCCTGACAAATGGCTCCATTATACCAAAGAGGGCTTGAGACTTAATTACTGATGTCATTTATCTCTCTATTTGCACCCCAACAATAAGTGACTCATTTCTCATTAATATTGGGTCATCTTCCAAAAGGAAGAAAAGAGGCCAAAATATCAGGCGGGTGGGTTGGGGGTGAAGCAGTGTCTTTGTTCCCTATCTCATTATTTTGATAAATCATAACAGACTCTGTTAATTAGGTGGGCAGGCTTAACTGGCTGACTCCTGTCCAACAATTACCTCAGAAAGGAGCACCGCTGGGAACACGTCCTTCCCTTGGGAGGACATGAAAAGAAGTCTCTAACAAAAAAGGGAATCGTTCCCTCGGCCATGCTGGGGGCATCACAGTTGTCAAGACACATTTCTAAGACACGTAAGGGCTGGAGCTGTCTCAGGGACATCGCCTGTGCATGATGGTGATGTCTGGGGATCTGATGCTGCCTTCCTAATCCAGGGCTGAGATAACGGTTCTCAGTGCCTTGGAGTCCCCCTGGGAAATGAGAACCTAATTAAGCAGGGGAACAGGTGTAAAGAGAACCTGATTTGATCTGGCCACATGAATTGCTGAGATTGGGCTTGCATTTAGCTGGAAACAGTGAATTAACTACAGCCGGAATACAGCTAATCCCTTGGTTTCGCTGCGACTGTGTATAAAACACACTGGACCTGCTGGGGAACACAAACAAAGAGGGATTTGCAGCGAAGGTAAAACCACATCCTTGCATGGGAAGGGCTGAGAAATGAATGTAGCCACAGAGGGTGGCCATGTGGCCCAGACTCGGCGGCCCATTTTCCCTACAAAATTATCAGTAGCACTGTCTTTTATTCTCAAAAAATGTTCCAGTTTGGGTAATAAATTAAATGGTTACTTTATTTCAATGAGAATTTGAAGCTGGTTTAAAATATTTTTTTTCTTTACCGGAGGAGTGGTATTAAAGGTTGAGGAGTTACAGGTTGAATTTTGTCCCCCTCAACAAAGATGTTGAAGTCCTGACTCCCAGTATCTGCAAATGGGACCTTATTTGGAAGTGGGGTCTTTGCAGACGATCCAGTTAAGATGAGGCCATTAGGGTGAGCCCTAATCCGGGATGACTGGTGGCTTTTAAAATGGGGGGAATTTTGGACACAGTCACAGGGAGGGAATGGTATGAAGGTGGAAGGCAGAGTCTGGGGCAATGTTTGTATAAGCCGAGGAACCCGAGGATTGCCAGCGACCCCCAGAAGTTAAGGGAGGGGCCTGGAACAGATTCTCTCCCAGAGCCCTCAGAACAAACCCTGCCAACATCTTGGTCTCATACTTCTGGCCTCCAGAACTGTTCAGCAATAAACATCTGTTGTTTAAGCCACCCTGCCTTTGGCACTTTGTCACGGCGGCCCTAGCAAACTGACTCACGTGAGCACTAGTCTCAAAGCATCTGATAAGACTCTAATGACTCAAGGTTTGTACAGTTCACAGAACTGAGCCATCTTGATGGCGAAGGCTGGTTGCAGGGTTAGGGAGCAAAGCCGGTTAGAGGACCAGTACCAATTTCCCACCTCCTCGGTGCCAGGCTCTGAGAAGAGGGTGACAGAGATGGTCCTGGTTCCTGGCCTCAAGGGGCCAGCAGTCCGGTGGGCAGGCAGCCTGTGCAGGTGACCTTGTACTTCTTTAGCTAAACGTGAATATGTATCTATGTACACATACCTGGAAGGGAGGGAAGCTCAATATGGGTGGAGGGCAGGCATCCCAAGCCAGGCTAAAAAGAAGCAGCCTTCCCGGGATGGGACATCTCACCTGAGACCTGAGAAGAAAGGGCTACCTAGATTTTATTTTCTTAGTTTTGAGACAGGATCTCCTTCTGTTGCCCAGAGGCTGGAGTGCAATGATGCAGTCATGACTCACTGTAGCCTTGACCTTCATCGGCTCAAGCGGTCCTTCTATCTCAGCCTCCCAGGTAGCTGGAACCACAGGCACACACCACTGTGCCTGGCTAATTTTTGTATTTTTTGTAGCGACAGGGTTTCATCATGTTGCCCAGGCTGGTCTCAAACTCCTAGGCTCAAGGGATCCACCCACCTCAGCCTCCCAAAAGTGCTGGGAGTATAGGTGCAAGGCACAACGCTGAGCTGCTACCTGGATTTTGAAAGGGCAGGAGAAACGGAGAACAAATGTGAAGGTTTGAGGACCAGGGGAGCAGGAGCTTGAAAAGTTCAACCTAGGAGCAGAGAGTGACTGGGGGAGGTTGTTTTCCAATTCGTTTTCTCAGCCTTCATTGCTCGTTTATTGAGTGTGTAGAGCACACTGCCATGCACCAGGACAAAGCCACCGCTTCTGTCGGGAGAACTCACTCATGGCAGGAGAGGAGCCCCCTTGAGGTGAATGGAAAAGCTTTAAATGGGAGAGGAATAGGAGGAATGGAAACGGTTCCCTCCTGGGTCAGAAGACAGGGGCTGTTTGGTCCCTGACCTCTCTGGCCAATTGTTTGCACGTGGCTGGGCTTGGAGAGGTCACAGGTCACATCCAAAAGTGCTAAATTATTTCTAAGTGTGTAATTAGATTATCTGTCCCTGAAGCAGAATTTTGGTTGCAGCTTGTCAGAGTTTCATTCACGGATACAGCTGGTCATTTTAGAACATTCTAGAGAACACTTTTGTCATGGCTCCTTCCTCTTGAGGTTCTGAGCTCCATATCCTTGCACCTCAGACCCCACACCCAGGACCTACCATCTTGAATTTAGGTTTTTGCCCCTTGGCCCAGGGTCTAAGGAAATTATGAGATCCATAGACCCAATCCATACAGTGCTTTTGCTTTTGAATGCCAGCCTTGGCATTTCTTAGGTGCTATTTTCAAGGCGGATTTCTAGGTTGGATGTTAAAGTCATCATTTCTCTTCTCTAGTTGACTTCAATGACCTGTCACCGGTGGGCCCGGGACAAAAAGTTTTGGTAAGGCAAAACTGGGGTCTGATTTTGTAGGAATGGCGTGGATTATGTAAGTGTACAGGTCTGCATTTCAAAATGAAAAATAACAATAATAATTAGGGTTTCTCTGGGCTCCTCGTGTCCAAACCACTCTTGCAAAACCACCTTTGGATGAGCCTGAAGTGTCAGCAAATCAGAAACATGTGGATTTAATTTCCTTTGAAATACACCAGGGGGAGAGGGAGCTGTGGGACTTGGCAGCATGCTTCTTCGAGTTTGCCAAACCCCAAATATCTCACACTCTGTGAGAGCTATACGCTGGCCCCCAGCAGTCTCGTCTGGCCAGCCCAGCCTCTGTTTCTTGCTGTACCATCTAGGTCTCCTCTAGCCACGATTCCCTTCTCTGGGTGCAGTTCAGCTGCCAGAGGGATGCTCACACCGCCCACGTGCTGTAGCAGGACTTTGGAAGGGGAACCAGCACTGTAATGAAGTGTTGGTTGGCTCAAGTCTTGTCTGGACCCACAAGCCATTTTTCAACCACTGGTGTGCCTTTAAAACCCAAACCAACTGTGAGAGTGGTTTTCTACTTTGATTCTAGATGGGAACATATTTTTTCCCTTTTTTGGTGGATGACAGTGTCAGGTCCCAAATGGACTTGGTTTCACTCCCCTCTAGCACGCATGCATATAATGTGAAACATGCCCACATTCTGCAAGGGCCACAGCCACCCCAGCATTAGGTTCCAAGGCAAATATGCATCCACGGGCCCCCGGGAAAGTAAAGGAGGAGTTTCACGTTGAGGAGCCGAGCCACACAGTCTAGCAGTTCTGACGTCTCTCCAAGGTCCACAGATCCTGGTCTACTAACTTAAGAGTAAGGTTGTATAAATAAGGTCTACATCGCTTGCTGGTTCATTATTTTTCTTTGTTGATAGTAATGCCTCCTTTTTTCTTCCTGTATATTTTCTGTGTCTGACAGCCCCTTTTGTCTAAAATAATGATGTACATTAAATGCAAAGGGCAAATGGAACCATTGAAAAGTACTTTTTGCATCCAAAACAGCCAGTGCTTTGGTACCTGCTATGTGTCAGACACTGATTCTTCTGTCATCCTTATTCTACTGATGAGGCAACTGAGGCAGCTTCAGAAAGTTCGAGTAACCTGCAGATCACACAACTAGGAAGTAAGAGAGCTGGAACTTGACCTTGGGCTGTTGACCTCCAGAAACGATGTTTTTTCCAGTACTCAGTGCTGCCTCTGACTCCATTGTGATGATTTGACTTTATGTGTCAACTTGACTGGGCCCAGGGGTACCCAGATATTTGGTCAAACATTATTCTGAGTGTTTTTGTGAGGGTGTTTTGGTTGAGATTAACTTTTAAATTAGTAGACTGAGTAAAGCAGATGGCCCTCCCTGATGTGGCCAGGCCTCATCCAATCCATTGAAAGCCTGAATGGAACATAAAGGCCAACCCTCCCTCAGTAGGAGGAAATTTCGTCTGCCTGACTGCATTCAAACTAGGACATCAACTTTTTCCTGCCTTTGGACTTGAATACAAACATCAGCTCTTCCTATGTCTTCAACCTGCCAGGCTTCAGATTGAAGTTTATAACATCAGCTCTCTTGGTTCTCAGGCCTTTGGACCCAGACTGGAAGTGCACCATCTGTTCTCTTGGGTTTCGCTTACTGAATCACCCTGCAGATTTGGGGACTTAGCAGCCTCTGTAATTCCGTAAGCCAATTCCTTCTAATAGATCTCTCTATACGCATCCTGTCTCATTGGAAGAACCCTGATACGGTTAGGCTTTGTGTCCTCATTCGAATCTCATCTTGAATTGTAAATCCCATAATCCTCATAATCCCCTTGTGTCAGGGAGGGACCAGGTGGAGGTAATTGCATCATGGGAGCAGTTTCCCCTGTGCTCTTCTCATGAGAGTGAGTGAGTTCTCACGAGATCTGATGGTTTTATAAGGGGCTCTTCCCACTTTGCTCTGCACTTCTCCTTCCTGCTGCCTTGTGGCCTTGTGAAGAAGGTGCCTTGCTTCTCCTTCGCCTTCCTCTATGATTGTAAGTTTCCTGAGGCCTCCCCAGCCATGCAGACTGTGAGTCAATTAAACCTCTGTCCTTTATAAATTACCCAGTCTCAGGTGGTTCTTTATAGCAGTGTGAGATTGGACTAATACAAACCCTAATACGTCCATTTCTTTTTTGATCTACCAGGCAATCCTGTGAAGTAGATGGGTCAGGTAATATCATTGCTATTTGACAGATGAGGGAGAACAAGACCTAGAGAATGAACACGCATGTGTGTACATGCACACATAGCCACACATATGCTCATGCATGCACACACACATACATACAGACCACACACTTCAGGACGAAGGTCAGAATCCAGGTCTAATCATTTGTTAGTATGTGCTTCTTCCCCAGGGTGTCCACAGAGCAGCCAGCCATGGAGGGCAGTGCTAGCTTACTTTTAAAGTGTCCTTAATGTCCAAGATCATGATAGCAAGTCCCCCTTCATGCAGAAAAATCTGCCTCTGAGTATCTGGGTGTGTAGAGGAGCTACTACTATTATTCTGTTCTTCAAATTCCATACTGTAAGTTCCAACTACAGAAAATATTGTAGCAAAGTGCTAAGAAACCTAGCATGTTCCCACCTGGAGACAGCAAATCCAGAGAATGGATCCTCGAGGGCAAAATTATCCTCCAAACAATTGCATGTTGAGCGGGACAAGGATATGTGGCCAGTAGAATGTCTGTATAAGAGAAGGCAGAAATTTCATTATCTTTGTTGGCTGATGTAAAATCTAAGGCCATGCAATGTGTTAAGACTGTTGCCACTTATCCTAGGTGATTACTCAGTCTGTTTACTTGCAAGGCTTTCTGTTTTGCGAAGCCACCCCCGCTTCGGGGTTCAGAAGAAATGCAATGTTCTCCCCCACCTGCTCTGGTCTTCACGATATCCACTCTGGCAGGCCAGGGCCATCGTTGAGCTGTTAAATATTGAAGATGTGTCGTCCTGATTGTATTTAAGTAGTATTTCATTGAAAGTGAGTGGAAGATGGGAGAAGCAATGTTTATACGTCTTCAACTGCTCTTATGAAGCAGACAGAAGTTCAGACAGAGGTGGCTGTGACCTTCTACTGCTGTTTATAAGCAGCAGGGAAGTACGTTTTGGGTTTTGGCAGCCACAAGATCCCTGCATAACCCAACAGTCTTCCCCCATGCTCCCACCTCCCACCTCAATCATTTTTGTGTTGAAATGTCTGCAGAAAATGGATGTGGAATGGCATGCTTGTCTAGGGTAAGTTTTCCACTCGAGGCACAAAACCCCGGTCATACACCTACCTCTGGTTCTACAGGAGCCCATAAACTGGTGCCAGAAGGCTGAGCTGATACTGCAAAGATGTGGCAGCAGATGGGAACTTGTGCCTGCAAG